TATAGTTGGGGGAAAAAACCCCACCAGCCATAAAGGCACCCCCCCCCCCCCCCCCAGTGCACATCCCGTCAATCATATTCAGGGTGTCGCCGCAAAAAATATATAGCAGTGAGACACATCATGAGGATTTCACCTCATCAGACATTCAGCATCACAGGTCTTTTGTTTAAGTTGATTGATCAGAAACAGAGTAGACTCAACTGCATTAGAAAACAATGTCAACACGAACCCCCGCTGACTGTCTCCGTCACCCTGTCCATCACTCATAGGTCTGGCACCCTGGACTAACAAAGCTCTGCATTATTAGCAATATACGGCAGATGGTTAATGGTTAGGACATTAAACAACTGTATACATCTATAAACCAAGTTCAACTAAATGTACTGGGCTGTGGATTGTTTGGTACACAAAAAGAATGAGAAGTTTTTTGGGGTTTTCTTACATATACATCATTCTGTATGGATTTTTACTTGAAAACAATCACTTCTGTCCGCTCCTCATTTCACTGCTTCACTCAGTCGCACACAAGTGAATAAACATTTTATTAAAAGTATACAGTACAGTTAAATATCAATCCTAAAATTAATTTCACAAGGAAATCTGGTCAATTCAAACTCTGTTGCCATCACCATGATGATGTCTGTAAAAACCTTTGTAGGTTTTATTATCTCCCTGTCGTATGTCTTACTGCTGGGTTGTGATAAGGTTTTCTTGCAAAAGACATTTTAAATCTCACTGGGGGCTTTCCTGGTGAAAAGTTACATTTACAACCCTTTGTATTTTGCCACACATTTTGGATGGTTGCAGGAAAAGTCAGAATGTGTCCCAGGAGACGGGTGACCCACCTGTCAGAGACAAAATCCAAACATGGTATTTCTCAATAGAATGATTGACATCTGGAGATACAATGGGTCTGCCCCCCAGGCCTTTATTTTAAAACTGTTGTGGCAACAAACTAACCAGGATGGTTGGTGAAAGCGTGACCAAAGCCAAACTTGGGTTAAATGTATTTCTGATCTTCTGGTAAATCAGATTTAGGGGTTGTTATCATTGGCAGGGCGTTTACAATGGTTTTGGCCTGTAACACAGGCACATGCTCAAACACACGTACGTAACAAAAATATCAACAGTCAGCCACACTGACATATACCCACCCATATACACCCTTGAGAGATTTGTAAGGCAGATTAGAGTGGCTGTAGAACAGAAGGATCATGAATTGTGACCCACAAAAGAGCCTGTGGTCCCTGCAGGAATGTCCTGCTGCCTCTGGCCAAGGCAGCCCAGATCACTCCTCTGTTCTCTGACTCTATTTTATTGGAGACTTGTGCTTTATTGTTATGTATTCGTTTGAGTAAATTTCCACTTTCAACTGAGTAACCCCGAATGACAAAGCAAAAACAGAATTTAATTTAGCAAAGAGGAAAATCTGAATCATCACGCTGGCACATTCACACACAACTTGCACCTTTTTTCATTTGTCAACTCAAGCAGCCTTGGCAGCAAGGACTGCGTCAAGCTCTGTGCACCTGGATGTTGGAATTTTTCTGCAATTTTTCTTTGCAGATCCTCTAGAGTCCTGTCAGCCTGGATTGATACTGCTATGGAAAGTGATTGCCTTCAAATCCCTCCTCCAACATCCTGGCCGTGGGTTTCAGTACAGTCTACCATCCAGATTAACCAAGAAGGTGTTCTCCTTTGGACAATCTACCATCAACCACACAGTTAACTCTGCAGTGACCGCTGTCTGACTAAAAGTTTGTAACTCTCGCAGCAGCTTTGAAGTTTTCTTTTCTTGCACATATCTGTTAGAAATTATCTGTTAAAAATGGTTGGTTTGATTGTGCATCTCTAAGACATGTCCTTGGTACTGTTAGCTGTAAAACATCAAGATTTGTCATAGTGTATGTTCTGTATCCACCAATATGGACAGATCTATTGAAGACTGTGTTGATTTAATATTAGTTATCCGTCTGTTGGTGAAATGCCATACACAGAGTTTATCAGTGTAACTTATTTGGTAATGTTTGTACTTCTATTACCTATGTTCAATATACTACCACATTTAATATCCCCAAAAGTAATAAGTTTGGAGGACATTAATTTACCACAAAGCTGCTCCACTCTCCGACATTGCAGTCGTTTGGCAAAATTATTTTCAGTTGTTAGATAATTTAAAGTGAATTGTGTATTTTTGAAATTCTTTTTAATTAAATGAGAAAAACAAATGTATTTGCCAAAATGTGAAGCTTAACAATGCATGTTTGTGTGACTTTGCAGATACCTTTGATATTTGCATTATTCACTTGCTCACAGGGAGGCTCTGTGCCACAATGACTAGTGTTTCAGGAATCAGGAATCCGAGTCAGGCTGGACTCATTTGATGAGACCACATAGTGATGAGTCAGGGCGATGAACTGCTGCCTGGAATAGTAGCTCATCTGTGGTGTGGTGGAGGGAGGAAGAGAGGGAGAGAGAGAGAGAGAGAGAGAGAAAGAGAAAGAGAGAGGTTACCATATATTTTTTTCAAGACAGCAGATTGACCACCACTGTTTAGGGGCAACCACTGCACTGAGAGTGGCTATAAAAAATGTCAGAAGTGAGTCCAACAGTCTCCATAACAATTTTTTATTGAATCAAAAATTCAGTAGACAAAATAATCTGTGCAGCCATCTGAAAAAGTGCAATTAAGTTAAACTTAAAAAGCCGTCTTATAAAATAATGCTTGTTTTATCCAAAAAAATTAAATCACATCTATCACGGCAACGATCCTGTTTATAAAATATGCAATAATGCAACATAGCATCTACTGTATGTTTTTATGAGTTATAGCAGAAATCAAAAATAGCTTTTGTCAAAAAAGAGGAAAAAGCAGG